CTTGCCTGGGTTGTGAACTGGGTCACCAGCTGGGGGTGTGTGAGAGGCAACCAATCTATTTCTCTTGCACATCAATGTTTCTCTTTTGCTCTTTCTCCCTTCCTTCCCCTCTCTGTGAAACTAAATGAACAAAAACTTTAAAAAAAAGGGACTTTGTTTATGCAGTGAATATAGAATGTAGTCCTCCCAGGATCCACTCCCATTCTTTCTAACAGAAACTTAATGTTACTTAGTATACACCTCTTCCCTACAAACCTATATGTCTCCAAAGAAGCTCACCTACACTTAGCCCCAGATAGCCTAAATGAGGGTACGCTTGGTTTCTTTCTAGTAACTGAGTCAGGAATAGCATATGACTAATTCTGACTAATGAGATACTAAGAGAGTCTGCTAGAGGTTCCTGGGAAAGCAATTCATATAAATCACTGTAAGCCTCTCCTTTTCTCTCACTGAGCATGAATCAAGAAGCACATAGCTCTCTGCCCTGACTGGTGTGGCTCAGTGGCTGGGTGTTGCCCTGCAAACCGAAAGGTGGCTGGTTGGATTCCCCGTCAGGATACATGCCTAGGTTGCAGGTCCCCATTGATGTTTCTGTCCCTTTTATTCTCCCTCCTTTCACCTTCTCTCTTAAAAAAATATATAAATAAATAAAATATTTTTTAAAGAGAGAAACAACATAGCTCTAAATGCTTATGGCAACCATATTAATAATATGAGGGAAACCAGCTTTAGGATGGAGCTGCCTCTAAAAATGGCAGGAGAGAGAAAAAACCTGGATTCTCAATACTGTCATTGAATCAACTAACCCTGAACTTCACACTACCTCTGGTAGTGCTTTACATGACCTAATTTACTCCCCCGCTTTTTTTGAGATAGATTGCATTAGTTGTTCTGTTATTTGTGTCCAAAATATCCTAACCAGTTTAGATTTTATCAGGCAATGGGTTGTCAACAAAGATGTTTAAGCAGGAGACTGACATCACCAATTTGAACTTTATGAGAACAGCAGTGGCAGAAATGCTGAGGATGGACAGACAGGATGAGGGACTTGTTGCCATATATGAAAGGCTTACTATGCACTTTGTAACAAACATTTTTGTATATTAATTCATTTAACCTTTCCAAAATCTTATGGAGCATGTAATAGTATCCACATTCAATAAAAGGAATCTGAAGCCCAGAGACATGAAGTTGTCTAAGAACACGAAGCTACTAAGTGGCAATTTCATTATACACATTCCTTCACTCTTAGATATAGGTATAGATATAGATATAGATCAGAAGCAACTCATCTCACTCTCAGCCTTAAATAGGCCTAATTGATATGAGTAAACCCAACCCTTTTCCAGTGATTGCCTCAGCCAGAGGCATAAACTCTGAGGTGGTGGCCAGCAAAGATACTGTTGAAAATTCAAGAGAGAAACAATGATAGGACAAGTCCCAAAGGAAACTGAAAGGGATGGCATCAAGCCCTCCCTTGATGGCCTTATTCTTAAAAAATCAGGACATCTATCCCCCTCTAAGACTGGGGGAAGGAGGTAAGTGTAAGTTCAGATATAGATGCATTTGTAAGTATGGGGAAGGAGTGGAAGTTGAGAGAGTGTACCAATGGAATAGTTCATTTTTCTTAGTGAAATGAAGGCAGGGTCCTCTGCTGAGAGGGAGAGAGTGAAGCACGCTGTGGTCTAGAATAGTCACCATGGGGTGAAGCTAGCCTGGAAGACAAATTAAATAATTCTAGAGTCCTGACAGCTATGGCACAGCTAAGTTGGCGATCACGAATTTCCAAAGGCTTTAACCATGTAGGAATATGATTTTCCCCAGTACCACTCATAAGCCCTGTTGGAGATGTGAAAATCAGCCTGTTATGAAAGTAAGTATGAGGTTAAAAGTAATGGGAATGAGGATCATTTGACCATAGTTCTCGCTGGTTCCTCATATTCTCCAGAGGCCTCAGTTCTACAAACAAAATCTGTCCATATAATTAGGACTGTCAATCACTGTTCTCAAAGGAAAAGAGGGTTAAAGAACAGACTGTCACACCCCAAAATTCAAAGGGAAGAAGAATAATATTGTTAATTAAAGCACTTAGGAATCTCACAGTGTCCCAGGATTGCAGGTAGTAAAGCAATATACTAATATTCAGTCTTTGATTAAATTCTATGGCCCTCAAATTTGATGTATGCTCTTTCTTTCATTCAGGATAAAACAAAGTTAAGGGGACTCATATTCAATGCTTTATGTATACTAGATAGGATAAGTAAGAACCACACAGAATGTAAAATAAAACTACACAAATATTTAAATTAGTCAGTATGTGTGCTTATGTCATATAACATGTCATCCTGCTGAGTCAAAGGAACTTAAAACATCTCTCCTTTATTAATGTCTTCATTCCTATGGTTACCTTTCAGGTAAGTACACAGCTAGGTTTCCCCTCTAAACTTAGCCAATAAGAGAAAAATGTTTAGCTGTTAGAAAGAATTAGGAAGGGATTTTTCGCCTTTCAAGCTAACTTCAGGGAGTTGTTTTAGGATTTTGTTTTTGAAATTGCTATTGGTTATTTTAATTGATTTAATGAGGAGTTATTTCTTTTTTTCTATAACAGAGGGGAAAAGGAGGGAGACAGAGAAGGAGAGAAACGTCAATGTGAGAGAAAAACATGGATCCTCTAGTACATGCCCCAGCCAGGGACCAAACTTGCAACCTAGGTATGTGCCTTAACCAGGAATCCAACCTGAGAACTTTCCCTTTGTGGAATGACACCCAACCAACTGAGCCACACCACTCAGGGAGAGGACTTATTTCTTCTAAAAAAAATTAAGGTGTGTCCTTTGGATGTTCAAAAAACAGAACAAAGACAATAGTAAAAAAAGTGACTATGGCATTATAAGCTTTTACAAAGCAATCAACATACCAATTATCTAGATAGAAGAATATCACTGGTTATACTTTACCTGCTCTGAGACCATTTGTTCCTATGAAGTCATTGCTCATGAGATACAGTTGTCTTTTCAGAGTCTCATTAGAGGTAAATATACCTAAATCATGAGTGAACTAATCTCATTTCTATTCCTAAAATAATGCTACCATCATATGAGCATATTACTCATAAAATGAGTAAATAAGAAAAGATTTTGCCCTGGCTGGTGTAGTTTAGTGGATTGAGCGCAGGCTGCGAACCAAAGGCTTCCCAGTTGATTCCCAGTCAGGGCACATGCCTGGGTTGTGGGACAGGTCCCCAGTGGGGCCACCTGAGAGTTAACCACACACTAATATTTCTCTCCCTCTCTCCCTCCCTTCTCCTCTCTCTAAAAATAAATAAATTTTTTAAAATTTAAAAAAGGAAAGATTTCATAAGTATAAGTACAGATTTCTTAGAGATGGCATCTGACTTCGAAGATCATTATTGGAATTTTAATACTGGGATATAAAGTGGAGTCACTGGAACTTAAATATCAGAACTCTTCTTAGCTTATTAATTAGTGAGGAGACCAGAATTTAGTTTGGTTAATTATAAACATCCTGGACTGCTGAATGAAAGATTAGGATAATTCAGTAAAAAAACTTAAGCCCCCTTTTATGTGTTAGATATGTGAATACAAAGTGAAGAAGACTCAGTCCCTGACCTCAAGGAGGTCTTTATAAATCTCATCTTTCTGAAAACAACTTTGTGACATCAGGTCAGCTCCTTAGTGTAAGAAAGCTCAATGCCCAGTTACAACACAGAAATAATGTGAAGACTTGCCACCACTCATTCATTACAATAGAGTCACAGCTTTCTAATGAGGTTATATTCCACAGTGAGGGACAGACATTTCTCCAAGTAAAAATTACCATTAAACACATCTTAATAAGTTGTATGGGGCCATCTTGATCAGTTTTTCCTGCATGACTTGAACAGATTGTTTCATTTGCTGAATATGCAGGTTACATTTAGAAACCATGTCTTTTGAAAAATATATATCTTTAAACAATGTATGAACATTTGGAAATATGAGTTTGTTTTATATTTTTTATAAACCATAAATGGTATCACATTGTACTTAGTTTGCTTCTCATTTATTTTACCCCCTTAAGGCATTTTAGAGGTCTTTCAATGTAAGCGCCTGTGGCAAACTTGTATTTTCCAAAAATGGCCACAGCAATATTTCTGGTCTCACACACTCTTTAAGAACTTTGCCTCTTCCCTATCAAGAGGTAGGGTTCATTTCCTGTCCTCTTAAACCTGAATGAGGCTTTGTAACAGCATGGGTAAATCGAATGTAGCAAAACTGAACTGACACTGTACGACTGATAAGGTTACTGATAATGAAGCAAAGAAAAGTCATCCCTGCTGTGCTCTCTGAATTCCTGACCCAGAGAATCTGCGAGGGCAATAAATGCTTGTTTTATATCATTATGTTGTTAGGGGGTCTTTGCAATGCAGCCAGAGTAACTGGAAGAGCACCTATATATCTATTTCAATGTTTTAAACTATGACAATGTACAGTATTTATGTATCATACGAGTTTTAGTGATTCTTGTATTGATAGATACTTAAGTGGTTGGGATTTTTTCCTATTATAAACAAGGCTGAAATAAATAAGCTTCTATGTCTATTGGTGTACAAATGTCAGTATATCTTCAAAAACCCAGGGGAGATTTTATAGAAACTTATAAATGAGTTAATAAATACATGTAAGATACTTAGAACAGTGCCTGGCAAATAGTAACAAAATTTTGGGGGGGTTACTTTTGAATCAGTGTAAGTTGAACTACATAGAAAGTGGTAGTTTTTCCTTTCCATCTTTAGTGACAAGGACCCTCACGATTGTTATCTAACAGCAGCTATGTCCAGTGCATACCACTGTTCACAGTTTAGATTATGGCAAATACTTGCAAACATAATCAGTCATAGAATTATATATCTGAAAACGTCCATCTGCTGCACACCTGACCCGCTGTATCAATCTCGTTTAAAAAGTTAATTTGCTCCGTGTGCTGGTGAGTTACACTACCTGCGTTCCTCGTAGGACAGGTCTGCTGAAAATCATCAGTCGTGGACCCCTGCGGAAAGAGCATGCCACAGCTCTGGAGCGCGCCACAGTGCTATTCCTTCTGCATCTGCATAGGCCGACAGTTCCGCGAAGAAGGGGGAGGAGCTTCAGATCGCTATTTTTTTTTTTTTTTTTTGGTCCTATTACAACTCCTGTCACAAATTTAGGAATCTGCTTTAAATTTTTTTTTAAATTAAACTTATTGGGTTTGCATTGGTTAATAAGATTATATAGGTTTCAAATGTATATTTCTATCGTACAGGAGCTGTATATTACATTGGAATGTGCTTTTTTAGTGGCTGTCACTCTCTTCCACCCTAACTCTGCCCCAGGCTTGCTTGCTGCAGCCCAACACCGGTTAATTCACATTCACCTCCAGTTTTCCTGGGCGGGGTGAAGGGGGTATCCTTAAAGAGGAAGAGGAGTACCTGTCCTCCTTCTCTAGTGTTAAAGGGGCAAAGTCTAGTTAAACTTAAGTGACATTTTAACTTCCTCTCCTTTTCGATTTTCTCCCGATTTGCTCCAGTTAAAGAGACTCGGGTAACCGCCCCCCTCGCCCTCGGGCAAACGTTAAAAGAGATACTACTGAGCAAAAAACATTTTTAAGAGTCCTGTAAATGGCGGGATCGACAGGCCCGGAGCGGGCGGGCTTCCCGGCGGCTCCGTGGGGGCGGTTGGCTTGAAACGGGGAGTGCCCGTCCAGCCCAGCTCACTGTGGCCCCGCGCTGCTAACTAACTCCGAGGAACTCCAAAGCCAGACAGAGCGGGTTGGAAACAAGTTACTCCAGAGCCTTCAGCAACTTCCCCGCCCCATAGCCCCACTCCTTAGCACGCACCTCCCCCGAAGCCGCCGGAGACACCTTCGGCTCCGCCCCTCCACAGGTCACCTCCCTCCACGCCCCTTTCCCTTGGCCCCGGCAGCCGGCAGGCAGGGAAGTGTCGTAAAGCCAGGCCCAGGAAACTTTACCCGGGGTAACAGCCGAGGCGCTTTACGGCGACGGCGGCTGAGTGTGAGCCTTGGCGGTGGAGGCGGCCGCGGCGGCGAAGGAGGCGGCGGCAGCGGCTGAGGAAAAAGAGGAGTGGTGGCAGTGGCGGCGGGGACTTGTGCCGGGTGAGCCCCGCGGAGGGGACAGGGAGGGGCAGCGGTGACAGGACTGGTGGATGGGCCCGGGCACACGGGGACGGTGGCCGGCTGAGCAGCTGGGCGGCGCTGAAGAGCGTGAGGGGGTCGGGGGGAGCCGCAGAATTGGGGGGACGCCTCTGTGGGGTACGATTTCTGCCTTTGTTTCCCCCACCTCCTCTGTCCCCCGCCCGCCGCCCCCTTTGCTCCGCTCTGGTCGGCTCGGTCTCATGGCCTCCGCTCTCGGTTTGTGTCGCCTCTAGGATGGCGGAGGTACCGCCTGGGCCTAGCAGCCTCCTCCCACCACCGGCACCTCCGGCCTCGGCAGTGGCTGAGCCCCGCTGTCCCTTCCCGGCGGGGGCCGCCCTCGTCTGCTGCAGCGAGGACGAGGAGGACGACGAGGAGCACGAAGGCGGCGGCGGCAGGAGTGCGGCGGGCAGCGAGGCGGCGGCGGCCAAGGGGCATCCGTGTCTCCGGTGCCCTCAGCCACCGCAGGAGCAGCTGCAGCTCAACGGACTGATCAGCCCTGAACTGCGGCACCTCCGGGCGGCCGCGTCTCTCAAGAGCAAGGTTTTAAGCGCGGCCGAGGCGGCCACGACCACGGCCACCCCTGACGGGGGCCCCAGAGCGACTGCAACAAAAGGATCCGGGGTACACTCGGGCGAGAGTCCCCCTCACTGCCTCCCCAGTAATGCAAGAACTGCGCTCCCCAGCCCCGCAGAGGCAGCGGCGGCCCGCAATGGACTGGCGGAGGGCGCGGAGCAGGAGGAGGAGGAAGACGAGCAGGTGCGGCTGCTGTCTTCTTCCCTGACCGCCGGCTGCAGTTTAAGAAGCCCCTCGGGCCGGGAGGTTGAGCCTGGGGAGGATCGGACGATACGTTATGTCCGATATGAATCCGAGCTACAAATGCCCGATATCATGAGACTGATCACCAAAGATCTGTCTGAACCCTACTCCATTTATACCTATAGATATTTTATCCACAACTGGCCACAGCTATGTTTCTTGGTAAGTGGGATGGAATGAAAAGAGGGTGAACCCAGCAGAGAGACCCAGGCCGCGCAGGGCAGGGAGTGTGAGGGCAGAGTGGCAGTGGATCTGCGCTGCATTTCCTAGTACCTGACGTGATGTTGAGTGCGTGTACACGCTCCTAGTTATTTAATGAAACTTCGCAAGGTGAGACCTCTTGAGCTCGGTTAACTTGATACTGATGTAAATGCAACAAGCCTGTACGTTGCGTGTTGGGGGCTTTGTATCCTGTTTGCATTAGCTTATAATAATGTTTAACCTCTTTAATTACCCTCCCTCATTCTCAGAGTACTTTGCAATCATTTAATTTGAACATGATTCTGTTCGTTGCAGACCTTATTAATCTCTCAATTACAGCTATAATCAGGGAAGAGTGTATGCATAAACATGTTTTGGTGAACATGATTGTCAGTAAACTTAATGTGGTCACATTGGAGAATTAAATCTTACAAGCGTATTCTATCATTATGGAGATTGTTTCCTTTTCCTTCAACAGGACAATTAACAGTTGTAGCCAGCCTGCTTTCTGGTGCTTGATTGCAGAAGGCGCTATTCACACTTCTGGTGGCTGAAAAACTGAAACTTGAACAAAATACCTTTTTGCGAAATGTAGGAAACTAAGTGTGAAATTGTTACTAAATTCCACATCCAGATACCTGCCTTTTTCCAAGTGGGTTTCTAGGGGAAAAGTGTTTCCTTTTTAATTTTTTTAACTTACTGGTGTATTATGTTTTAAGAAACTGGTCATAGATATGCCTAAATACTAGTAGTAACACTGGCTTGTGGGAAGTATAATTGGCAAAAATCTTTGTGTGTAAGCCAAAAAAACCTGGCTACAAATAAGCTGAACAAGTTTTTAAAACTTTACATAGTAGCTTCTTTCCATTTATATTTACCAATTTTATTCTGTTTGAAACCTTCACTTAAATATTAACTGCAGATATATGCTTTGTATCAGGTGCTCACAAGCATGTTGTTTCCATTGAATTTGACTGAAAGGCAACATGCTTTTAAGGAGGATTTTATGATATGTAAAAGGAAAAGCCACTGCCACTGTTTATTGTTTCAGCATTGATTTAGTTGCATTTGCTAATTCTCTGCAAGACGTTTTAACGATAACGATACTTCAGAAATCCATCTTTTTCATTCTGTAGTTTAGTGGTAATCTGAAAATATATCCTTAGCATTGTAGTTCTACTATTTTCTGTGTTTCCTGTGCTAAACTTCAGTTTAGTACATTTGTTTTAATCGTGGAAACTAGTTTATATTCTATGAAACTCCTCTTAAGATTCTAACCATTGTATCAAAAAATGGGAAAATGATATTTTGGCACTGTTATAAACGTCATATAAAATGCCATTGTAATTACTAAAAATTACAGATTTATTTACTGGATTTAAATTAACCCACAGAAGTGTACAATTGAGTTACACTTTGAATTGAAATAGTATATGTGTTTCTGTTAATTTCAGAAAATAGTTGGGTATATACAGGGGTAGACAAAAATAGGTTTAAAGTCGTGGATATGTGAAACAATTGTATTATTTATTAATTATTGTATCACTATTCATACGAACAACTGTAAGCCTACTTCTGCCCACCCTAGTATATGATATTTAGTAAACTTTTGAGTTCTGATACTATCTAGGCCTCTCTCAACTTGTCTGCCATTTTAGACCCTGATAAATTTAGTATTAGTAAACTCTAATTTTGATTTTATGTAGACTCCTCCCAGTTCACCAGTTATTTTGTACTTTAGCCCTTGAGAGTCAGTTTAACATTAAATTCTGAATATCTAGAATTGGAGATATGCGCAAGTGCTTGACCTATAGAGGTTTACTAGTGCAAATATAATCTAGTGGTATGGAACATAAAGCAATAGCTAAACAATTAGAGGCCATTGTAGCGGTGGAGCCTTTATATTGGCATTTTAAAATTTTGAATTTCCTATGAGAACTACATGAAACAAATTTAAGTGTATGTGTTTATTTTAAATCATATCATTTTAAAACTATAAAGGACCCTAGAGATAATATAGCTCAACTTTATTTTTTTAATGCAAAAAAGTAAGGACCAGAGTGACTTTACAATGTTTAAATATCTAGATATTTAGTGTCAGAGAGGTAATGCTAGAACCCAAATTTCCTGGCCTCATGGAAACAAGAACCTGAAAAATGACATAACCTTGACCCATTCATTGAACATGATTGTCACCAAGTTATACTTCATCAAGGGATACATTGTTCTTACCCAAATCAATCTCAGTGATTAGAAATTTCCAAACTGTCCCTGGTTTTCATGAGTAACCTGTAATGGATTAAATGGAATAAATGAGGTTGGACCTTAGAAAATTGCCAGTACTTGATTATATTTGACTAACAGAATTACATTTTGTTATTCTTCCTAATAATTGCAACATGTGAAAGAGTATTATACAAATGGGAGGCACTGTCAGTTACTGTGTACTTAACTAATTTCTCACTACATCTTTTTGAGTTCATGGTATTTTTAGTTGTAGGTGTGTTTTCAAACTTCTTAAACTTATTACCAGTGATGTATAATACTTCCGTTTATTTGTTCTAAGTTTAACTTTCCGGCTTCCTCTGGAAACACTTCTTTCCTATTTTTAGTGTTCTGGAATTTGGGAATCTCTAATTCATACAATTTATATTTTTCAAGTACTGTAGATTGACAAGCCTTTGGCCTTTAGAGTTGTCTTAACCTTGCTGGAATTTTTCAGTTCCCATCTGAAAAAAAGAACACGTTTGATGCCTGTGTTCCAAATGTATGTGTAGAATCTTTTTGGAAAAATCGACAAGCAGTTTAGTGATTCTTGTAAGCGTATATTTATCAGCAATTTACCAGGAAAAAAATAGCATTGAGCTTCCTCACTACCAACATCCTGTTAGTAATAATGTATAAAAACAACTTGGTTTTTGCTCCTATAGATTCTTAAATCAGGAAGAAATCAATCTAGTCCTAGAGGGAACTAATATGCTTTGTTTGGTTTTTACTTCCTTGGTCAAAGGACAAAGAAGATTTGAAATTTCTAATTTGAAAGTATTGTCCAGCTGTATTGTATCTGGTGGTTTTAAAGTTTTCCTCTTCTGGACGGTTTATTAACTGAAGAATGGCTCTTCTACAGTTTTGTATTATAGATTTATATAGCTTTCCATTTCCCTAGCTAATGAGGTTAGGTCCAAATTTTTTTTTAATGTACTATTTGTTCTGTGACACGTACACACACTGATACAACCACACCTATTTTTGAAGTGAGTTTTCATATCAGAAAATGCTGTCAGATTTGTTCAACTGTTGTGTATATTTCAGGTGTTAATACAGAAAGAAATTTTAGTTTTCAAAAGATTTTGAGAGCATCAGATTGATTTATTATGATTGAAATGGAAATAATTTTAGAGGTTTGTTGGCTCAAAATAGGGCTATGTGATAAAACAAATTAATTAGTGTGGATTGTTGAATTTCATATTCCTTCAAAAGGATTTTCCTGACCTAGTTGAGGTTGAGGTTTGCATGAAATGGATTAAAATGATCTTGCCTAAAAGATTTCTCCACAGTTTTTTGGTTTTTTTTTTAAGCCAAGGGCTTTTAATGCATTTTATAAAATGATGAACTAAAAAAATCTCACAACAAATTTAAATTAAAATAAGTATTAAGAAATGTAAATTGGATTCTGCTTAATAATCTTTAATCCATTCCTGTTTTTTTTTGTTGAAATA